GGTAGGCTCCTTTTTATTACCTGTTTTCTCCCTCTTCAGATGTCCATCCCATTTGTCTTTCTGAGTGAGGATTGATTGTCTTACCCAGGGTCCTCCTTCTTGCTTAGCTTCTTTAGATGTATAGATTTTTAGTATATTTATCCTATATAAAAAGTCTAATGTTCATTAATAAGTGAGTATATTCCATGTGTGTCTTTCTGCTTCTGGGATACCTCACTCAAGATGATCTTTTCTAGTTCCCCATTTGCCTGCAAATTTCCTTGTTTTCAATTGTTAAGTAGTATTCCATTGTGTAAATGTACCATAATTTCTGTATCCATTCTTCAACTGAGGGACATCTGGGTTGTCTCCAGATACTGGCTAATAAGACTAAAGCTACAATGCACATAGTTAAGCCAATGTCCTTGTTGTATACTTGAGCACATTTTGGATATATGTCTAGGAGTGGTATAGCTGTATCTAGAGGTAGCACTATTCCTAATTGTCTGAGAAAGGGCCAGATTGATTTCCAAAGTGCTTGTACAAGTTTATATTCCCACAAGCAATGGAGGAGGGTTCCTCTTTCTCCACATCCTCTCCAGCATGTATTGCCAGTTGAGTTTTTGATCTTAGCCATTCTGATGGGTATAAGGTAAAATCTCAGGGTCATTTTGATTTGCATTTCCCTGATGACTAAAGATGTTGAGCATTTGTTTTTCTGCCAGTTGAAATTCCTCTATTGAGAATTCTCTGTTTAGCTCTGTACCCCATTTTTAAATTGGGTTACTTGATTTTTTGATGTTTAACTTCTTGAGTTCTTTATATATTTTGGATAGTAGCCCTCTGTCAGATATAGGGTTGGTGAAGATCTTTTACTAGTCTGTAGGTGGTCATTTTGTTCTGATGTCACTGTCACATGCTTTACAGAAGCTTTTCAGTTTCATGAGGTCCCATTTATTGAATTTTGTTCTTAGAGCCTGTGCTGTTGCTGTTCTGTTCAGAAAGTTGTCTCCTGTGCCAATGAATTCCAGGCTTTTCCTCAATTTTTCTTCTAAAAGGTTTAGTGTGTCTGATTTTATGTTGAGGTCTTCCATCCACTTGGACTTTAGTTTTGTGCAGGGTGATAAGTATGGATCTATTTGCATTTTTCTACATGTAGACTTCTAGTTAGACCAGCATCACTTGTTGAGGATGCTGTCTTTTTCCCATTGTATGGTTTTGTCTTTTTTTTAAAAAATCAAGTATCCCTACATGTGTGGGTTTATATCTGGGACTTCAATTCCATTGATCCACCATTCTGTTTCTAAACAAGTACCATGCAGTTTTTACTACTATTGCTCTGTAGTACACCTTGAGGTCAGGGATGGAGATACCTCCAGAAGATCTGTTGTTGAACAGGATTGTTTTAGCAATATGGGTATTTGATTTTTTTCATATGAAATTGAGAATTATACTTTTAAGTTATGTAAAGAATTGTATTGGTATTTTGATGGGAATTGTATTGAATATGTAGATTGATTTTGGCAGGATGGCCATTTTCACTATGTTAATGCTACCAATCCATGAGCATGGGAGATCTTTCTATCTTCTGATACCTTCTTCAATTTCTTTCTTCAGAGACTTGAACTTGTTTTTTTCAAAAGATCTTTCACTTGCTTGGTTAGAGTCACACCAAGGTACTTTATGGTATTAGTGGCTATTGTGAAGGGTGTAGTTTCCTTAATTTCTCAGCCCTTTTGACTGTTGTATACAGGAGGGCTACTGATTTGTTTTTGAGTTCATTTTATATCCAGCCACTTTGCTGAAGGTGTTTACCAGCTGAAGGAGTTCTCTGGTTAAATTTTTGAGGGTCACTCATGTATAATATTATATCATCTGCAAATAGTGATATTTTGATTTCTTCTTTTCAGATTTGTATCCTCTTGACTTACTTTAGTTGTCTTACTGCTCCATCCTGGACCTCAAGTACCATGTTGAAGAGACATGGAGAGAGTAGGCAGCCTTGCCTTGCCCCTGATTTCAGTGGATAGATTTAAGTTTCTCTCCATTTATTTTGATGTTGCTTATAGGCTTGCTGTATATTGCCTTTACTATGTTTAGGTATGTGCTTTGTATCCCTGATCTCTCCAAGAATTTAAAACATGAATGGGTATTGGATTTTGTCAAATGCTTTTTCAGCATCTAAGGAGATGATCATATGTTTTTTTTCTTTCAGTTTGTTTACATGGTTGATTACATTGATGTATTTTTATGTATTGTACCATCCCTATATGCCTGGGATTAAGCCTACTTAGTCATAATGGATGATATCTTTGACGTGTTCTTGGATTTGGTTTGCAAGTATTATATTGAGTATTTTTGCACCAATGTTCATAAGAGAGATACATCTGAACTTCTCTTTTGTTGTTGGGTCTTTGTGTGGTTTAGGTATCAAGGTGACTGTGGTTTCATAGAATGAGTTTGTTCCTTCTATTTCTATTTTGTGAAATAGTTTGAAGAGAATTGGAGTTAGCACCTCTTTGATGGTCTTATAGAATTCTCCTGTCAGACCATCTAGCCCTGGTCTTTTTTTGGAAGGGGGACTATTGATGACTGTTTCTATTTCCTTAGGGGTATAGGACTATTTATTCTGTTTATCTGATTTTGATTTAATTTGGGTAACTGGAATCTATCAAGAAAATTGTCCATTTCATTTAGATTTTCAAATTTTGTGGAACATAGGCTTTTGTATTAAGACCTAATAATTGTTTGGATTTCCTCAGTATCTGCTGTTATGTCCCCCTTTTCATTTCTGCTTTTGCTGATTTGGATAGTTTCTCTCTGTCTTTTAGTTAGTTTGGCTAAGGGTTTGTCTATCTTGTTGATTTTCTTAAAGAACCAGCTCTTGGTCTCAGTGATCCTTTGAATTGTTTTCTTTGTTTCTAATTCATTGATTTCAGCTCTGAATTTAATTATTTTCAATCTCTACTCTTGGGTGTGTCTTCTTCTTCTTCTTCTTCTTCTTCTTCTTCTTCTTCTTCTTCTTCTAGCGCTTTTAGGTGTGCCATTAAGTTGCTTGTATGGGATGTCACAATTTCCTCTTACCACTGCTTTCATTGTGTCTCATAAGTTTGGGTAAGTTGTACCTTCATTTCCATTGAATTTGAGGAAGTCTCTAATTTCTTTTTTTGTTTCTTCCTTGACCAAGCTGTCATTGAGTAGAGAGTTGTTTAGTTTCTATTTGTATATAGGCTTTTTGTTATTTCTGTTGTTGTTGAGGTCTAGTTTTAGGCCGTGGTGGTCTGATAGGATATGAGGGATTATTTCCATCTTCCTGTATCTTCTGAGGCTTGCTTTTTGCCTGACTTTATGTTCAATTTTTGAGTAGGTTCCGTGAGTTGCTGAAAAGAAGATATACTCTTTTGAGTTTGGGTGAAAAGTTCTGTAGATATCTGTTAGATCCATTTGATTTAGGACCTCTATAAGTGTTATTATTTCCATATTTAGCTTCTGTCTAGATGATCTGTCCCTTGCTGAGAGTGGAATGTTGAAGACTCCCACTATTAAGGTGTTGTGATCAATGTGTGATTTTAGCTTTAATGATGTTTCATTTCCATATGCAGGTGCTCTTGTATTTGGGGCACAGATGTTTAGAATTGTGATGTTCTCCTGGTGAATTTTTCCTTTAATGAGAATGAAGTGCCCCTCCTCATCTTTTTTGATTAATTTTGGTTGAAAGTCCATTTTATTAGATAATAGGATAACTACCCCACCTTGTTTTCTGGGTTCATTTGCTTGAAAACCCTTTTTCCAGCCCTTTACTCTGAGGCAATGTTTATCTTTGTTGCAGAGGTTTGTTTCTTGGATGCAGCAGAAGGTTGGATCTTATTTCTGCAACCATTCTCTTAGTCTGTGCCTTTTCATTGGAGATTTGAGTGTACTGATGTTGACAGATAATAGTGACCAAGTAATGATAGATCCTTTTATTGCGGAGTGGGTGGTGTCACTGTGTTTCAGTGCTTGTTTTCTTTTAAATTTTTTTTTGTGAAGTTATCTATATCCTGTGTTTTTTTTTAGGTGTAGTTGATTTTATTGGATTGGAGTTTTCTTTGTAGTATCTTTGATAAGGTTGGGTGGCAGGATGTAGAGAGGATTTTAAGTTTGTGTTACAGGCCCTGAAAGAGAG